CACTTTAAAATCATGGAAACAACATAATAACCACTTACAAACTATAAAAACATAAAATTATAACACATAATACACACAGAAACACTCCATATATAACAGTCATTTACACATTTGTTACACACTTACAAAATATATACAAAAATATAACCTTAACACATAATAAATAACACACATTACTGCATCAAATGATATATAAAAATAATTACCAAAAACTATAAATTACAGTTAAATTATTAATAAAAAATGAGGTATTTAATAGTAAAAAAATAATTATTTATAGATTTAGTGCGTTGGTAAATACAACATTGTTTGTGTAGCATTTATTAAACAACATACCTTTTAATGAATGTTCATCAATTTTAAAAAAATAAGGTATTAAACAATCTTGTTCTTGTACATACAACATATAATTAACCATATGAGAAGCAAGGTTTTTGAGATAAATATCAACTTTATCAAAAGTTTGACCTTGACTTTTATTTATGGTCATTGAGCATGCTAATTTTTTTATGCTAAGGAAATTGACAGCGTTTGAGAGTAAAAAGTAAATTTGAATTGGATTGTGTTAACTGAACCTAAGGAACAAATACTCTCTTGCTGACTGAAACACCTCTTAGGACTTTGCCTATCAATGTAATTATTTTGTAGAGCATGTACCTTCAATTGGGTCCCATTACAAAGTCCAGCTTTAAGATCTAAATTTGTAAGTAACATTATAACAGGACCAATTTTCAGTTTTAGGCAATGAACAGGCATTCCCAATGGAGTAACACTGTTTCAAAACTCAACAAAAGAATAATTGCTTTCATTAATATTATTTGTTTCAATACTATCAGCACTTAAATAAATTTTAATATCACCTGGTAAGCAGTCCAAGGCTTCTTCATTTATTGCTAATGAATTTACATTAGTGTGTGTCAAAATGGCACATCTTGCATAATCATCTTCTTCTGTGACTCTAAAAATTTTGTCTACTATAGATTCATTTTCCCCAAGCAAGCATTGCTCAGGAATGTCAATGCACCCGCTAAAGGAACTGTCTGCTTGTAAAGGTAATGTTCTATTACCAAGTTTTAAAAGCCATTGAGAGAATTCCTTTTCTTTGACCTGAGCTCTCATATTTTCTGTTAATGAAAATTGCTAAACATTGCTAATGTTGAGAACATTTTATACAGGCTTCAACAATATCAGCTGGTTGCACTCTCTTTACAAGCGGAAGTATTTGCCTAAAGTCCCCATTTTAGGCAAATACTTCCGGTAAGAATATCTTAACCACCAAAAGGAAACTTGTTATTGCAAACATCTTGAAATAACTTATCAATGGCATTTAAAGCATGTTTAGGTATCATGGATGTCTCATTGAGTAATTAGAGGCAAACTTTCCTAAGGAATTGGTCGTGTATAGAATTTGGAGTTAGATTGCATGTGCTATTTTCCAAAATTGGCACAGGAAGTTTGAATAAACTATGAAACCTACTTTTTTTGTTTTTTTAAGAGTTGCAGCTATTTCTGCCCATGCAGCTGTTGCAGTTAATATGCCTAATGCTGGTTTCAATAACTAAATAATTATATGTAAATGTTTCATCACAACCTGCAGGTTCATCCATAAAAAAAATCTAGACTGTTTATTTTCATTATATGGTTACACACTTAGAGCAGAAAGAATATATATATATATATATGTATATATATATATATATATATATATATATATATATATATATACATATATATATATATATATATATATATATATATATATATATATATATATATATATATATATATATATATATATATATATATATATATATATATATATTATGTACATGTACATAATTATGAAAAATACATATATATATATATATATATATATATATATATATATATATATATATATATATATATATATATATATATATGTGTGTATATATATACATATTATGTACATGTACATAATTATGAAAAATAATTACCAAATTTTCTTGGGATAACTGTGTCCATGTACATAATTATCCCTGGAAAGTTTTGTTAAATTACAAAAAAATGTATATAAGTTGTAAAATAGTACGTAAGAAACATAGTACTTATAAGTAAATATATTTTTCATTTTTACATCTTTTTGTTTTGTTATAGTTAAAGATTGAGGTTATGTTTATGTTGCTATGAGATATTACATCATATATTATTAGTGTGTTTTTTAAAAGTTATAAAGTTAGCTTTTAAAAATATGTGTCAATTAAGTTTACATTAAAAATGCCAAATTTGGTTGTTGGGGAACCATCTGGAACAACTACCTTCAAACCAAATACCAACTTAGCGTGAGATATTGCGATATCTTTTCTTTTTGAAAGAAGAACTTATGAAACATGATAAGTACCCTATTAGTTATACATTTATATATTGTAAGATAACTGACAAGCTGTGTGCTCGTCAGTTATAAAAAAATAGGAGTAAAAATACAGAGGAAAGACAAAGTGAAACAGAAACTTACAAATTTGTATAAATAATGTAGAACCTTGACCAAACATAAAGGTAGAAATGATGAAAAATCACAGATGTTTTTAAATTGGCAAGAAGAGTTTTTTTATATTGCACATCAAGAAGCAGCTGATATTGTTAGTGTTACAAATTAAGGAACACAAAGTGTGACAAATTAAGGAACACTAAATAGAAAGAAGAAGACTTAAAGTATTAGATGCTTTAAAGAATGGTAAAAAAGTCATTTAAGGCTCTGTTGACAAAGGTAATACAGAAAAATTGAAAAGCGCAGCCTGGTAAACGTTATTTGGACGTTATCACAGCCCAAATCTGGACAAGGGTTAGGGTTAGGGTTGGAGGTATACAGATGGAGGTATACATTGGCGCAAGCCTGGGGCCTTTCATCATGCATAATGGATGTTATCCATGATATACGCTGCTAAAATGTACCTCTTTAGAGATTCTATGGGCTATAATGAGGTAACTACTGGGAATCTGTAAGATATACATCTTTTTAATGCTCTTGTGTATGTCAAGCATCAGTTAACATGACAACTTAGAGTTTACACTCCTTTTAATGACTTGAAACTTTTCAATGAGTTGCAGGACAAAATTATCAACAAGGAAATATCAGATACACCTCAAAAGCTTAAAACTATAAGCATTTCAAAAAATATCAGAGTTGTCAATGATGTCGCCAAGTAAGGTGTAAAATTGATCCAAGACTTTACATTTTCCCTCACAAAAGATGAAAAAAGCAAACAAAGTGTGCTACAAGTAGTCAAAAACCACAGAAAGTGTTTTACCGATTCAAGAAAGGCAATATTGAAAAACGTTAAACAACTTCTTCAATTTGTAATAGTTTTGTGTATTCCTTCATATTCAAATGTAAAATAAGTTAGAAAATGTGTTGTTATTTTTTTAATAAGAATAATTTAGATAGTTACTTAATATAAAAATACCAATAATACTATATATGAGAAATACCAATAAACGTGAAAAATCAGTAATATTTATGATAATTTAATCCCTATATTAAACTTGCTTTCATGGCTATGTTTTTTTTCTGAACATATATGTAAAATAAAAGTTAAAATTGAATTTATTTGTCTGTTTACTTACAAAAAGTTATAGATTAAAAATAATTTAAAATCTTTGAAAAAATCAAAGTAAGTCCCCTTTTTTGGAGGACTTGCGACAAGGGATAGGGTTAACATTTTAAGCTGAAATTTGAAATTTAGAGTTTTTACGTTACCCATCTCTAAAAAACAGCCAGGGAGATTGACATTTTTCAACTTTGGTATTTTTGAAACACCCTAATATATATATATATATATATATATATATATATATATATATATATATATATATATATATATATATATATATCATATATATATATATATATATATATATATATATATATATATATATATATATATATATATATATATATATATACATATATATATATATATATATATATATATATATATATATATATATATATATATATATATATATATATATATATATATATATATATATATATATGTATATATATATTTATATATATATATACATATTTACATATACACTGAGTATCTGTAGCATGGATGGCTCTCGCTTCTAGTGATATTTCAAAGAGCTTAAAGCCTTTTTGCATGGATTCAATATTTCAGCCAAGTTATTAAAGTTGTTTTCATTGTACAGTTGGTTTGTATATTAATGGTCTGCCTAGCCATACGATATAAATTGACATCTCATCTCTCTGCAAAACTGTCCTTGTTGAAGGAATTAAAATGAAGGCCAGGATTGCTAGTATAGCTCTGGAGTTCCACCTTGCATTGGTATTTTCTGAAACCTGATCAAATGAAAAATGTTCCTTTTTCTCAAAAAATTAGAACACTCGAGGATGATGAAACAAAAATTTCATATAATCTTACTAAGTCTTTAGTAAGATGATATGAAATTTTTAACCTAATTATTAATAATAAAATAAAAGATTGATTATGCAGTCTTTTAAGTATAAGCAATCTTTTATTTTATTATTAATGAAAATTAATTTTATTAGAACATTCTTATGAACAACTGTTGAAATTTTCATTTTAGTATAATTAGAGTACATTCTAATGTATGGAAGCTTAAAGTATCTTATATTTAAGCTATTAACAATGTTAGAAATAGATGGGTTTATTTTCTTATCAATATAGGATTTAAATTCAGATTCAATAATTGTGGAAATTTATTATTTTGTAAAACTAATAATAGATTCTTAATATGTTTATCAAAACCAACCCAAATATTATTAATTTTAAATGTACGATCAATCAAACAACAAACAAGTTCAAATTTGTAGCAAAAAGAAATAAAACTAAAAAAAATTATATGTACAAATGTTTTGTTTATATGGTGTATTTGATAATTGTATGCTTCCTAAGTTTTACATAATTTTTTTTATCCTAAATGTTTAGAAAGTATATAAAAAATATTTATATATTAAAAAATTGTGTTTTTAGATATTTTTTGCAGTCTGTGTTGCCATGTTTTCACATGTCCTTTTTATAATTTACCAAACACGAATGCTTTATACTATGAATTTTGCATTTGTATTACAAGTTAATAAAAGAAACCATAACAAACTTCACAACAACAAGCTTAGCTACAAAATGTTTCACCTCAATGAGCTTCATTATGCTTGTATTGGTACTTTATTTGGTGTTATCACTTTGCTCTTTTTAAAAATGGTAATAGTTTTAAAATTTCTTTTATTGTTTAAAAAGTTTTTAAAGGTTTTAACCCATTTTTTGTTTCTATTAGTTTGTTCAAAATTTGTTACAGTTTTTATTTATACTAAAAGTTTTTTAAAAAAAAGATTTTGAAAATAAAAGATGGTGAAATTGTCAAAGTTAAAAAAGCTCTAATCTTTTTTAACTTTAATAATTTCGTTAGTTAAAAACTATTTTAAACCTTGTGTTTTTAATTCCAAACAGTCTTGAGTTACCATTAGACAATCTCATTCCTAAATTAATACTTAATTTAATGCTGCTACTGCTGTTACCCATTTGTGTTCCTTTGACACAGAGTTTTTAGCATTTTTGGCCTTTTAATATTTTTCTTTATATTTTTATTGAGCAATGAGGTATTCTTAAAATTTTATAATTTGTTTTCTTCTTTTTCTATTCTTTTTTCTAGTAACTCCCAACTTAATACGGGTTGCTTGTAGCTTTGTTGGCAGTAAATCAGAATTAAAAAAAAAAGATTTAAGTTTAAGCAAATTAATGCTTGTCATCATTTGATCTTAGAGTTCATCAAAAAACTCATTTTTCTTTTGTTTTTCTCTTTTCAAAAAATCATCAAAACAATCAATAAATTTTTTTCGATTTTTTGTGTTGGAAAAATTTTACATATGGAAAAAAAAATTTTTTTCCATAATGTAATTGGGTTTTAAATCTCAAATGGTTTAAAGACAAAAAGTTTTTTTTAAGTATTAAACAAAAGTGTTGTATTAACATGTTCTTATCAGGTAAAATATATACAACTTGATTTACAGTCGATTTTTTTTTTTTTTTATTATTATTCACCTCCTAAGGCCCGAAGGGGCCACTACAATTGAGAAGACTAATCATTTTTTTTTTTTTGACAAGCTTAAAAAAAAAAAAAAAAAAGAGTAACCTTGACAAGCCAGACCGCTGCGCAGAGAAATTAAGTTAAGCGCGGTACTTCCAGGGACATGGTGGGAGTCAAACTCCGAATCTCTCGAAAACTATTTGTTTATAGAATTTAATTTATTGTAATAAAATTCTTCTATTAAATCTGCTTGTATTTGTCATATTAATTATCACCATCATTGACGTTGTCAGCCGCAAAATCAGTGTTCTCCCTCATTATTCAGTTAAGTTACGTATGAGAACCAATGCGAATATTGCAAAACTACTTTTAAATTATCTAGCATATAAAAGACTTATTACAAAATTTCATTTGCTTATTTCAAGTAAAATAACTATTAAAATTACATTTTTATTGGAAAACTTGACAAAGAATTTTTAATCATGTATTGTTTGTTTTTACAGTTGTCTTGCAAATTAAAAGCTTTTAAATCGTCATTAAGACTACTTCTTTAAGCATCTCTTGATGGATCTAGTATTTGTTTCAATATAAGCTGTAAAAAATGTTAAATTAAACTGCTGGTGTTGAATTTTACACATCACATTAGGTTTATATTTTACTTTATTTTAATCAATTTTGGTTAACACCCGTCAGATATAAAAAAATCTATTTTTTCACAACATTCTAATTGGGTGTAATAATTAGAGAGATTATCTTCACCAGCCATAGTGGACCAACCATTATATTGCTTGTCCTTTTAAAGGATTAAATAATTTTAAGAAATGCAAAAATAGGCATCAAATGACTAGGCCAAGCTGTCAAGCCCAAGTTGACAGAAATAAGGAAAAAATTTGGAAGAGAGAAAAGATAAAAAGATTAAAAATATATTTTGAACAGATGTGCAGAACAAAATAAAGACACTATAGTAAAGCGTGTAGTAAAAAATAATAATGATAATTTAGACGCAACGCATTTAAAAGAAATGCAATAAAAACAATACAGACACATAAGTAACCATAAATCTACAATAAATACAAATATTTAACTTACTTAAAATAAATATACATATGTATAGATATATCAATATTTAAAATGAATAAATATAAAACGATAGGAGGTATAAAATAAAAAAAAAACATTGCTTTTGTGTAATCAATTTATGCAGTGGTGGTCATAAATTTTTTCTCAGAATCATGTTTATTATTACTGGCGTTTTAATGAAGCTCAGTACCAATACCTAGTTTATCCTGTCAAATAAACATTATCACCATTTATGCTTTGCCCTGCAATTTATGCCTACTCCATACTGCAGTAAAAAAGGACTTCACTACAAACAGCTAAAACTCTAACTTCACCCAAATTTGTAAAGCGCTACTATTTTTGAAAAAATAATATAGATAGTGAGAGATGTGAATTCAAAACCAAATAATATAGCAAATTTAAAATAATACTTATTAAAACTGCAGACATATTTGACCGTTGAAATTCTGAAGTCAATTTGATTCATCAGTATCCAATTATTGCAAATCATCAGACATATTCTTAAAAAATATGCAAGAAAATAATATAAAAAACAAAAAATACCATAAATATGATACATATCATATAAGCATATTGTTTTGGCCCCTTAACTTGGAGCTCAAAACTTTTAAATCTTTTGGGCTAGAGGATTTGCTATTGAACAATTTTCTTGTTTGAATAACATAAATTATTAAATTTATTTTATTCAAACAAGAAAATTTGGTGACAGCAATGAAGAATTAATACAACTTGGTGACAGCAATGAAGAATTAATACAAACAATTTAGGGTTGGAAAGATGGAATTGAAACAAAAGACTATACAAAAGACTATAGAATAAAGGGTACAGGAGCTGGAGCAAACTCTAATGTCCTGGAGCAAATTCTATGGTTGTAAGCAAACTCTATTGTTGTGAGTACTTTTGGTTAATAAAAATAAATAAATAAAAAACGTGGAAACATTAGAGAAAAGATAGAGTGTGTTAATACATCTATTATCTATGTTTTCATGGAGATACAATTGGATGGTGCAGCAATCAGTTGGTGTAGCAGAAGAAGTCTTATGATAAGAAAAAGGTATGCCTGGGTCAAGTTCAGAGAATTATTTCAAATTCAAACACCAAGACTTACACCATAGAAGATTAAAGTAAAAAAAAGACTTATCTGATAGGAAAGAAAAAGAGGTCAAGAAATGCAATTTTGCGCAAGGACAGAAATATGTATGCAAAAATAATAGTAAAAATGATGATGATGAATGCACAACCAAACATTCAGCTGTTTGAAAGAACACAGCTAAATGCTTTTATTATAACTTGGATTAAAAGCTTTTACTAATTAATATATATATATATATATATATATATATATATATATATATATATATATATATATATATATATATATATATATATATATATATATATATATATATATATATATATATATTTCTTTTGCTAGCAATTTGGCTCCTTTTACACATAAATTTGCATTCATACTTTTTTTCAATACGCCAATGATTCCACTTACATTAACAAGCTTGTCCAAAGTTTCTGCTCATTTTGTTTTTGGATTTTAAAAACATTGTTGATGTGTAATTTATGGAACACAATTTTTAACAGTTTCACACATTATGTCTTTATTATGGTCTTAAATAAAATGGATAAACATTAAATTGACTAAAAAAAATATGGCATAATGGAATCAAGACACGATAAGATTGAAAATTAAAAAATTAAAAGAACTATATCTTAAAACTGCACGTTTACCAAATGGAGGAATTTTAAGCATCATCTTATTATACCTTAAAACGTTTACTATTTTGTAAAAATATTAGAAATCATGATTGCACTACAAAACTGAACATTACAGCTAGATGGCCTGTGGTCTAAATAGGGTATGGCAAATAATAAACTTTTATCAAAAAATTAATGAGTGTTTTCTGAGGCGAAACCTTCTGAGGCGAAACTTAATGCAGAATTTAATTTTGGTAGCATGACAACTTAGGTAAAAAAAGAATATTTTTTTCATAATGGCAGCCAAAAATAGCTACTGCCTCAAACATCAAGTGGTGAACCATGGTCTCCGATATTTCTTTTAGAAGATTTTGAGGTTGCTGAATTAAAGTTTTTTCATGTATACAAAGTATCACAAGCCCAATATCGCAATGAACTTTTTACTGTTAAAAATGATGAGACGCCAATACAATATTCAGTCAACGATTTGTAACCCAACTCACTAATCAACTAATGGACTAAGAATTCTGCAAGCTGTTTAAAAATCATAAAGTTAAAGCACTTTAATAACCAATGTCATCAATAACATGAACAAACATTCACATGTCACTCTTCACAGGACTGAACTGAGAAGTGTATCAATGTTGTTCAAGAGTTCATTTTGGTTTTCTTGGATTACAAATTGAATATTTTAGTTTGTCTATTGATTACAAACTCTTTCGCTATTTTAGCAATGCACCCAAAGCAATTAGAAACAAAACCTCTAAATCGGCAATGTTCAATATTTTAAAGATCCATTAGGCTTTTTTTTGTGTGTGTATAAGGATATAAAGTGACTAGCATGGCTTGGCGAGATTATTTGTCCAAGAGTGTGTATTGAAGTTGACGGAGATGTGAATGCTATTTTCTGAACTCCTATTCTCTGTTTGGTGTCACGAAATAACAATAGCATGAATGCCAAGTATTAAATGTGTGCTACATTAAAAAAAATTTTCTTTCTTAACTATAAATTAAGGTAAGATGCACCTTATAAACATCTATCTATAGTCCTCACTGAGATGAAAATGTAGGAAAAAGTTGTGTAATCCAAGATAACATATAGAACAATATATTAAATGCATATATTTGCGGAAAATTATTTTCAAACAAACTTTGGGAGTTATTTTGAAAAAAAGCAAATTTCTAACTGAAATAGCTGTTGGAGACCAAAAATTCTTCCAGACTTAAATTCAGCGTTACATTTTGCTTTAGAAACAGCTCATTATAGAAAAACTTTCAGATTTTTCCCACCCTAATGTTTTGATTTTGGTTTCTGGACTATATCTCTATATCAACCATACCAACCATATTAACATATACACTATTCAACTTATTAATATGATGTTATTAAGACAGCAATAAATACAGCAATCTCTACAAATGAATGTATGATGTCATTATAACAGAGATAGTATTACCATAAAATCTGGACAAAAGGAAAAAAACACATTTTCTTAGGATCTAAGGTTTTTATTTCTTATTAGCCTCAATGTCTAAAAGATTTCAAGATGTGTAACTGCTTAAAAATTTATAAATTTTCAATAGACTATTATAACTAAATTGTTTTTATTTTATTTTTTTATTTGAATTGTATAATAAGTTATATTTATTATTGCTTTTTTGTCACTTAAATAATGATTTGTTTTGTGTTTAGAGTTGCATTATCTTTATTGGTAAAATAAAGAATAAAAAACTTGAGCAAATGCCAAACAAGTTTTCTTCTCTATACTTATTACACGACAGGTTTGTTTAATCATGTTTGTTTGATATTTATACCTTATAAATTTATTTTTTATATATAATCATTAAAGATATTATAAGTATTAAACATTATGTAAAAATATTTTATAAAAAATAGTAAACATGTAATAAACTATTGAACAATTAACTGTAAATTTTTTAAAGTAAAGTTCATTTCGATACAAATATTTTAATTAAAATTTTTATCCTGAACGTTTTCTTTCTTATTTTGAGATTAATGTTTTGTAAAATAAGTTCTTTAAAAAAAAGAGTTAAGTTGGTACAAAAATAAATTTTGCTAATTTTCTAAAACACGAGCCAATGCCATACAGCACACAGTGGGCCATGGTGTACCAAAAGTCATTTTATTCAATCTTTTACATAAAAACTACATTTTCAGGCTTGGATAAGAATGACGTGCGATTACGTATTGTAACTGCTTATAATTTTTTTCTTTGCAATTTGACCATGGCAGTTTTGATGTTTTCACAATTTAAATGCTATAAAAAATTGTTATGTTATGAAATGAATTATAATTGTTAATCTTTTTTAAACTTTTTATTTTATGGGAAGGCTTTAAATAAAATAAAAAATTAATTATAGTGATGGTTTAAATAAATGCATTTTGTGTAAACTAACAAATAAAGTTATAAATAAAATTTTATGTAGGCATGCATTTTTTATGATAAATTTTTTTTTTTTTTTGTTTCTATTTTTACATAGAATTGTTTAAAACTTTTATTTTTAATCAGAGCATGAAATGATTAAAAGTTACTATTTTAAATAGACTGTCTTATTTTTTTAAACTGTATTTTTTTTTTAAATCCCAGAAATATGGTAAACATTCTACTGTTTACCAGTGCATCTGTGAATGGAAAAGAAGCTTTGTATGCATTTTGAATGAGTCCAAAAAACTACACCTTTACTCCATCTTAAACAAAATCATTCTCAAAAAAATTCTGAAAAACATTTTATTCTAACTTCTAGAAAATATTATCATTACTATTAAAATATTCTTTTAATTTTTTATTTATTATTACTACAACTATCATAATACTTTTTTTTTCTTTCTTGTTTTTATTATTATAAACTGCAAATTATGATTTCTGCATGTTTATTTTTAATGTATGTTCTATGTGCTTTAATCAATCTGTTTATGGTCCATTTGTTTCAATGTATGTCTTTGCTTATTATTACTTATATTATGTTTAAAAGTTGGTGTCAATTCTTTGATCAGATTTTTGTATGAGTGACACTATTCTTATATATTATTAACTTATTGTTATAATTAATTTTATGCTTATAACTACCATTACAATATTTATTATTATTATCTTTTCATTGTATGTATTGTAAACATACTTGTTGTTACTATTACTAAAACTTGTATTAATTTTGTTATCTTATATTATTATTATTATATATTATTGTTACAACTATTATTTTTATTATTATTAAAAGTATTGTAAAAATGATTTAAGTAAATAGCTTCTTGTTGTTGTTGTTGTTGTTGTTGTTGTTGTTGTTGTTGTTGTTATTGTTGTTGTTGTTGTTGTTGTTGTTGTTGTTGCTGTTGTTGTTGTTGCTGTTGTTGTTGTTGTTGTTGTTTTTATTGTTGTTGTAGAGGACCTGCCAAGGGAGTGTTATATTACTATTTATTCTAAAAATAAAAAGTCAACCTATGTTTATATATAGACCATTTATTGGTACTTGTGCTAAATTTAGTTTACATAGCACACATAAAAACTGCACTGCTATGCGAAATTAGGTATCCATAGCAACTAAATGAAAAAAGAAACATCTTAATTAGAAGTGCAGACCACTTATTTCTGTTAGTTCTGTGCAGTTGGTTATATTTGGAGTTAAAGAGTTGAGAGAGGGTTGTAATAACAAAAATAAATAAATAAAATAAAAGCAGCATTTAGGGCATTATCAAAGTGTTAACTAAAATTCAAGTTCATTTTCATTCCACTTTTTATTCCAGTTTTAATTTATTTTATTACTTTTTTTATTTTTAATAACTTTTTTGGTTTATCGTTTTTCATTTATTTATTTGTTTTGATTCATTTTTCAAATTATTCATTATTCGTTTCAATTATTCATTATTCGTTTTGTTTTATTAATTTTTCAATTAAAAAAATTAAAGATATTTTTAGTTTAATATAATTAGATTTTCAAAAAATATTCATAAGAATAATTTTGACTGAAATATTTTTTTAATCAAGGAATGAAATCACTACAATGCATCACTACAATGCATCACTAATTATGTTGAATTAAAATAATGCATTTAAAGTACAACATCATTGTTTAATTTATGAAAAAATAGGTTATATTAATATAATGCACTAAAATGTCCTGTGACATGCATGTTACATAGCATTATGTGGTTTGTATGTTATGTGACTTGCATGTCATATGACACGCATATTATGTGACTTGCTTGTTATTTGACTTACGTGTTTATGTTACACTCGTTACGCCTTTTTATAGGTGTGACACAAATACATGTGTGTACATGTATTAAAGGTGTAACATGTGACACACATGTTTTGTGACACGCTTATAAAAATGCTGTGTATATTCTAGATTAAATGTATCACTAGTTTTAAAAAAGAAATCTAAAAAAGGTGTTTAAACAATAATTATTGAAAATATAGGTTGCAATATCCTTGACATATCCTGCAGTGACTACTAATACTAAATGCAAAAAATATATATATATATCGGTCAAAACTTGTGTAGTTTTGACAGAACAGGTTATAATCTAAAAAAAAATGCATTTGTAATAAGACAAAAAATTTTTTTGGTTTTCCGAGACACTTCTGAAAATTCTTTTTAGTTTAATGTTCATTTTTTTATGATTACAAATAGTGGCAGGTTTTTATAATACCATTTTAACATTTTAACAACCAGATACCATTTCTAGCATTTCTATAAAAAGTGCTTTTTTATTGAAATGACATTATGAAAATGAAATGATTGAAGAGTGTCGAGAAGAATTAAAGCATTTTTTTACAACCAAATACCATTTCTATTGTTTCTATAAAAAAAAAATTTTTTAACTTAAATGACATAATGAAATTGTTGTTCAAGAGTGTCAAGAAGACTTGAAGCAATTTTGCCTCAAGTGTATAAAAGTTTAAAGCTTTTAGTCCTAGATGAAAATGTAAAATTTCTTAGTTTTTATTAATTTTGTTTGGTAGATTCACTTAATATGTATTTAGTTTTTAAATGTAATTTTTAATGTAAGAAATGTGTTGGTTGAATATCTGTAGCATTTATTCTTTTTGCTTGTATCATGTTTTTACTATTGATGCTTTTCTGTTGGTTTAAAAAATTATTTAATTGGATTTTATTTAGTTGGATCTATTACAATAAACAATTGCAAAATTTATTCAATTGGACATGCTTTAAAGATAGATTTCAAAAATTATTTATCAAAAAAGTAGATGATAATAATGATTGGACAGTGTACGCACCTCAGGTATGAAAACCCCGAATATCTTTATTATTATTTTTTTTAGTATTTTTGTTCCTAGGCTGTTATCAGCGCAATTTTCAGCAGTACATACTTATATGACATAATTATAAATATACAAAAGTTAAGAACTTATCTTGAAGTTACCTAACTTTAATTTTTTTTTTTGTTTTGTTGTGTTTTATAAGGTCTCTGCTTTGAATTAGTCGTGTACTATTTGCACTGTCCCTTCACAATAATATAGTTGTAATATTTATATTATTTTGTAAACGGTATCTATTTTTGTGAAAAATATATTGATTGATTAAAAAAAATGTCAAAAAGTTCTATTTTTTACAACATTTCTGCAGATTTCGCCCATTACTTTACATATCTTATATACATCATTTTTTATATATGTTAGCTAGCAAATCATAGATTAGTAATTTATTTTGGTTTGGATATATTTAGCATTTCATTTTTAAGTACCCAATACTCAATAAACTATGTGCTTTTTGTCAGACAACTAGAACAAGATTAGTATCTTGTTCTAGTAGATCCATTTTTTTAGTAATAATAGTTTGTATTTAATACTTATTTATTGTTCCTATTGTTTTATTGTAATATTTTAAATTTCAGAATTACAAAATAAAATACCAAATTTTTTTGATGTAAGCAATTTTTAATGTTGGATTTTCTTAGTAGTCAATTTTGGTTTCAAACAAACATAATTTTGTAAAATATAGATAATCTTTATATAAGATTAAATCAAAAAACATGTTAAAATATTGAAAAAGGAGAAAATGTAACTTTACAATTGTTCAAATTAAAAAAAGTTTTGGTCAATTAAGCTTTTGAAATTTCATCTTTCTATACTATTATTTTATTATTGATTAATAAACTGATCAAAGTTACACAATTTAAAGTAAAAAATAAATAAAATAAAAAAATAAACAAATGAAAAACTATCCAAAGCAAAATTAGTTATTTAAAATAAACAAACTATAAATAAATAAATAATCTCCTTATTACAAGGACGGAGGGAGGGGGGAGGGGGATAAACGGAGGATCAAATTTTTTTGTCTATAAAAGTAATAAAAAATTTTGTTTCTAAAAAACATTGTAATTTATTGCATAAAAAATAATTTCTTTAAAAATAAAAATGGAACATAAAATTATACCAAATTTAATTAGTACAGAAACATACTAATGTGGTATATGATTTAATAATAAAAATTATTGTTTTATTTGCCTTAAATATGCCTTAACGAAACAGAGATTACTTAAAGCTGCTTCTCTAAGTCTTGTTCGAACTTTTGTACAAAATTTAGATGGAAGAATCAAAGTCAAATATGAGTAGACGGACTCTAATATTTTGCCACGAACACCATTCTCTTCAAAAAATTTCATTTCAGATTTAATTTTTAAAATTAAGCTCCTATTTATTATTTGTTAAGTTGAGTTGGACCTTATGTTGGGCGATAAATTCAATTGAATTTTTTTCTCCAACTTTTGCAATAATGTTAAGGGCTTAGTTTGTTCTTCCAACATCACTTCTATCACATCGTCAGCTTCTGACTGCTCTTCTGAGGAAGTTTTCATGTTATTGTTAAATATCAATCTTTGTGAAAAGTTTTTAATAACTTTGGCTATTGTTTTTTTCAATGGTCTAGTGAAACATGTGTGAATCCCACATTTTGCCCCATTTTGTAAATACTGAAGAGCTCCAGACACATTAGTTTGTCTTTAGCTTATTTGGTCTACTAATTTTTTCTTTAATTTTAATGAAAGTTCATTAGATCCAAATTTCTCAAGCATAAAAGAAAATGTCGCATCAGCAAAAAGCAGATTTGCATCTTCTTGACAAAGGGCTTCAACAGTAAGCTTCACTGGAAGAGTGCAGACATTATGTTTTTAATCAACAAAATTTCAGCATCTAGAATAACGATATCAGATGCAATGTCAATCGATGCTTTTATAACACAGCTTTTTAGCTTGTTAAACCTTTCAAGCATTTCGACTTAGTGTCCATAATAAGTTTTAATTGTTTTCCAAATTCTTGTTTCATGCATACTTGAAGAATATCATTTGATGTTCTCAAAAAACGAAATTTCTTTACAAACGAATGAACTTATTTGATGAGAAAAATAAATCCAAATTCTTCAGTCTTAAAAAGCTTAGTTTCAGTATAAGTTTGTTCAATTAAACAAACATTTTTATTTTCAATGTATTCCTCATCCGATTCATCGAAGTCAGTTACTTGATCTTCTACTAACATTTTCTGTATATAAATTGAGCCACCAATTCAGTTGTATTCGAATTATTTTAAGAACATCAATTACAGCTAAATGTATTGCATGTGCAAAGCACAGCTGCTGATTACATGGTAAAAGCTGTCCAACTTTTTGAATCACAGCTGCCCCATCAGTTGTTGTAGACGTAATATCTTTATCTGTATTTAGTTATCTTGCAATGTGGTTTTCAGAGCCGTAATGCATTTCTCTGCAGCAAAACCTCCTTCAACAGGTACTAAACCTAAATTCCAAAACTGTATCTTTCTATTGATGTTTACATTTAAATAACATTTTTTTTCTTGAAGATGTCCATTCATCTAGAGTTAAGTAAAATCTTGTTCCATCTTCTTTTTAATTTCTAAAATCCTGCATCATTTTAGCCCGCATTTTTTGTGCGTATTCTAAAACCATTTTGCAAATTGATTTAGGTGATTTTGGTAATACATAATCTTGAGCGCCTCTAGCCAAAAACTAATTTCTCAAATTGATAGGCGTACAGAAAACTTTGAATGGCATATTATCTAAGGCACACATTAGTGATACAATTGCAGAAAGTGATTCAACTTTTTTGTTGAATAAATAGTTTGTAATCATCATTTTTGATGCGCTGCATCAAAAATGATGATTACAAACTATTTATTCAACAAAAAATATACACAATATTAATGTATCAATATTTTTGATACATTAATATTGTGTATTGTTTTTAAATGTGTGTGCTGCAGCGTTTTCGTTGAACCAGCGGTATTTACTATTTCATAACATATTTTACATTTTGCTGTTAGTTTTTATGATCCTCTTAAAAAATGAATCCAAACAGAATTTTGATTTTTACATTGCTTTGTGTATTCCGAATAACTTTCCTTCGAAGACATTTTAGGATGTGTTGTTGATAATAATTTAACTTGTTAAACAAAACAAAATTAAAGTTAAATAGTTATCAAACAATATTGTTAAATAAAATCTGCTATTATTCCTGCTATTATTTGCTTACCTATTTAAAAAATATTGATTCAAATAATTCAATACCCACTGCACTCCAATAAGCAAATCTCAACACTGTTGAAAATCGTAAAATATAAGACACGAAAACTAGGTTATAGCAAATGTAAAAGTTATTACATGTGGACATGAAATAAAAACATGAAACCGTAAACTGCAATAATGTAATAACGCAATAACGCAATAAGCAAATTTCAACAAATTATTACATGTGAATATGAAATGAAGACGTGAAACCATTAACTGCAACTTAGGAATGTTTTTTCAATGTCTACTTGTATTATGCAGGATAACTGTAATTTACAATTGTTTTCTTTATTTCTTCTTTTAGAATTTGAATGTAGAATATTTTTATGTACACAAACAAAAACACAATTTAAAAGTTAGAGAGAGCTCAAAAAAATAAATTTTAATTTTAAAATTCATTGGAAAGATTTTTGGAATTCAAAACTATATTATGAAAACAAGTTCTGGAATTCTCGAATTTCAAATTTCGAGATGCAATCCCTATTAAGAAGTAAAAATTAATAAACGGGACTGGGGTCTTAATAAGCTTAGCATGTTTCCAAAAATTAATAAGCATTGTTCCCCCCCTCCCTTTTCGTGTGTTAAGGACTCGAGGGTGGCGATGAGATTACAAATTTATGCTAAAAAAAGTTATGAATTTTTTATATATATGATAATTACATTGAATTACTAAAAAAATAATAATACAGTCAAAATAAGTAATGCTGTACTCCATTGTAGTGACCCCTTAGCATTGGGTAGGTGTTTAGCAATTAGGTTTGTTATAGTTTATCCTTAAAATATTTTTAAACAATTATACATAAATCTCATATATACATTACGCTGTTCTGTTGGTATTATGGTTTTTTGATCAAGACTACCAACAACCTTTGTATAACCTTTCGCATTCTTTGCTATTTCAAAATTCTTTAAATTCTCATTGTCCCCATTTCCATTTAACTCTGATAAAAGATATGTTGACTATTATATTATAATTTGATTTAAAAGTGCTTCCACCATCATTACAACAAAATTATTACATAATTATGTTATAATGATGATGTTGCAATCATTACATAAAAATAAAATCAAATCATTTTTATATGAAAAAGTCAAAAAGGTTAGGCGGTAATAGTAAATATATTATATAGTAGGAAGTTATTTTAACACTTTTTGTTTTAACATATAATTTCTTAACTTATGGCGATATGGACAACGTTGATAAATTTAAAAAATTGTTTTTATTTTTATCTTTAGTGTAAATATTAAAATGCAAATAGACAAAAGGTTAAATTTAGGGCCAATTTAAAAACTAGGGTTACAAGAAAATTTTCCCAATATATAAGGATTTACTTTGCACTTAAACATCAAAATACCCAAAAAAAGTGACATGAATAGTTTTCGAGTAATGCGGCTTTGAGTGCGATGCATGTAATTTGTAAAAAAAAACGTGCTCACAAAAGTTTGAATTTTATTCTAAATTGTTGTGTTTCCTGGTTTTTTGATAATTTTTGTTTAAGTTTAAAAAGGCTTTTATAAAATTTTACACAGAAAAAAAAAATTTATGCTCACTTAAAAAAGAAACAAATTTTCATTTAACAACAAATTTTTATTTAAAAACAAATTTTCATTTAATGTTAAGATTAAAACACTTTTTTAAACATAGTTTTAAGCATAGTTTCATTTGTTTTGTTTTTTTGCATTTTTCTATTGTTTTAATTTTTCTCATATTATAAACAAGTTTTTAACATTTAGTAGAATATATTGATGATTGTATATTACCATCAATGTATTTAGCAAAACTCTGAAAAAAACTTTTTAATTCGTCATTTTAAGTGAGTTCTTAGAAAAATAATGGTGTAATGCCCAAAACAATTTATTATCTCAATAAAATAATACTTGATTCAAAATCTAATTTGATTAAACAAAAAATAGTTTATTTAAAAAAAGATACATTTGTCTTTTTAAAATTAACTAAAGATGTCGTCGTTAGAAATAAACAAAAAGACTTTGAGTAGGAATAGCTTTAACTTACAAAACTGAATAAAAAAAGACGAACTATGATCTAGTTTATCTTTTTTTATACCTGGATAAGAACAATTACCTAGAATTTATATACGATCAAAAAAAACGGAAATTTTTTTCAAGAACCAGAAAGAAATACAGCGAGAAGGTAATTTACATGATGATTTATTTCTTCTGGATTTAAAATTCTTGTCACTTTTCTCACCTTTTTATTTTTGGCTTTCATTTTTGCTTTCAAATTTTTTACACTATTATTTTTTACCAGTTTGATAAACATTGTATTAAGAAATTAAAAGAGATTATTAATAATGTTGGAGTCAGTATTTTGCAAAGCCTGTGTTTAAATTTTGGAGATTCCAAGAAAAAAGAATTCATTTAAAAAGCATACTGCCAACTCATTGGATTCAAAGTTGGATATTATTATCTTTTGATTTAAGTTTTGATCCAGGAAGTTGGCGTTCTATGGAATCTGATAGTATAATAAAAACTGACATTACAAGAGATATATGTATATAGTGTTATGCCGTTACACGTTTTTATCAGTAAAATTAAGTAATTTGTTTCAGATAAGTATCTAATTCCCTTAGATTGCAGGTATCATGTTTCTGAATTCAAATCCACATACTTCTGTAAAAAAAAGTGCGATTCAAAATTCAGGAACATGCTGGATGGTGATGTTGCAATCAAAGAAAAAAAAGTTGAAAAGTCATGCTACTTTAGCATTAGAAATGCTAAAGTAGCATGACATACCTACCTTGACATTTGAACACAAGGTAAATTTCAATATTATTAGAAATTTTTTTTGTACTCATCTTTTTTTATATTAATTTCAAGTTTTGTGTACTCCAGTTTTCAAAATTTTATTTTTTGATATAGATATATATATATATATATATATATATATATATATATATATATATATATATATATATATATATATATATATATATATATATATATATATATATTTATATATATATATATATATATATATATATATATATATATATATATATATATATATATATATATATATTTATATATATATATATATATCAAAAAATAAAATTTTGAAAACTGGAGTACACAAAACTTGAAATTAATATAAAAAAAGATGAGTACAAAAAAAATTTCTAATAATATTGAAATTTACCTAAATATTACTTATAGTAAAATATTCTTTAGATAATTATAGATATTCTTTAATATAATAATAGTAATAATAATAATAATAATAATAAAATAATAGCAATAATAATAATAGTATAATTATAAAATAATCTTCTCATAAAATAAATTTAACTTGTTTTAATAACGTTTGTATTATTAGGGAAACTGAAAAAATAAAATTTTAAAAACTGGAGTACACAAATCTTGAAATAAATATAAAAAAGATGAGTTCAAGAAAAATTTCCAAATATATTGAAATTTACCTTGTGTTCAAATGTCAAGGTAGGTATGTCATGCTACTTTAGCATTTCTAATGCTAAAGTAGCATTATAATATATATATATATATATATATATATATATATATATATATATATATATATATATATATATATATATATATATATATATATACATATATGTATATATATATATATATATATATATATATATATATATATATATATATATATATATATATATCTATATATTTATATATATATATATATATATATATATATATATATATATATATATATATATATATGTATATAATATTTATAAAATTTCTTTAATATCCATATCTATATCTATCTATCTATCTATCTATCTATCTATCTATCTATCTATATATATATATATATATATATATATATATATATATATATATATATATATATATATATATATATATATATATATATATATGTATATATATGTATATATATATATGTGTGTGTGTATATATATATATATATATATATATATATATATATATATATATATATATATATATATATATATATATATATATATATATGTATGTATATAAATATATATATATATGTATATATATATATATATATATATATATATATATATATATATATATGCATTTTTCAGGAATGTATCTATCAAGAGATAAACTATCAGCTTGAAGAAATCATTTATCGAGTTGGTCTTTTTACTGAAAGCGAAGTCGAACTTTCCCAAGAAACAGTTGAAAGTTCAATAGAATCCGAACACGTTTTTGAACATAAGTGTATCTATAAGTCATTTACAAAAGAGGTTGTATCAGAAAAATATTCAATTGATACTCAAAATAATGGCGCTTACTGCAATCCGATGTTTGACGATTGTTATGGTGAGGTTTTAATTACTGCTTAAATAGTTAAAAAAATATTTTCAAAAACTCTTTTTATAAAATATCAATAAACTGTTTTGCTTTCATTTAGAAGTTTCTCAGTTCCAGAAAGAAATCTCAAACGATGGTTTAATGAATTTAAGAGAATCTTCAAATTTTCGTGAAGCTGTTGAGAATTTTAATAGCTTATTTAAACGTTTTCTTTTGGACAGCGAAGTAAAAAATGATAGTAAAGTTGAACAAACTTGTGTTACAGATAAAAGTAACACGAGAGAAAAGTTTAATCGTTTTTTGATTAAAGATGCTAAAAAATTTGATATGTATTGTCAAGTCGATGGGTTAACAGATTCGTTAACTGGTTTAAAAAAAGTTGTGCGAGAAATGGCATATCCAAAAGCAGACTGTACTTTTATTGAAGAAGATCACACAAACGCTACAATGAAGTCCGAAACTTATTTAAGTAAATTTATGTGGTCTACTGAAGGCGACCTTGAAAGCCAAAAGTTAAGGAGAAACATGATGCAAACACAAAACCCTGCTAATAATGGAAAAAAAGAAGAACCAAATTTTAATCGTTTTTTGTTACATTCAATGCAAAGCGATACCAACAATCAAATGACTTTAGATGATATTCGCTTTGCTTTAAATTGCTTTAGCAATACGATGAAAACATTATCTAAAGAGGAATCCTTATTAAGGTTAAAAGATTTAGAAGAAGATATTATTCAAACAAACGTTGAAAAAAGACCACAAGAATATTTGGATGAGTGGATGTCTTTGTCTAGTTTGTTGTTAAGTAAAAAAAGACACTGTGGAAATTTAGACAGTGGTTTAGGATCAGTATAGTTTATTTATTCTTATAATATATAATCAGAATTATAATTTATTATTTTTTTATAGTCATGATAGTAAAGATTTTTACAGTTATAAAATTATAAAATAATATTCTCCTTCGTAAAAGCCGGCTAACTATTATATTAGAAAACATATTTTGTACAATTAAATTGCATTAAAAGTTTTGAACCTTAACCCTACTCAGCCTTCTTGACCTTAACCCTAATCTTCCCATGTATATAGCATGTAACTAAAGAAAATAAATGACTACATCAAAATAGTTATAATATTTGATTTTATTAAAAAAAATAGTAATACTATTAGTAAAACTGACTGAGTATCGTACACAAGTCTTTGCAAGATTATAAGGATTGATTTTTTAGACTTACAAAACAGCTTTTTTTATTGACATGAAGTAGAAGTGTCTTTATAATTTATAACAAATTAAAATATTAAGAAGGTACAAACATTGCATGATTATTTAATAATAACATTTTCGTCAAAAGAACAATACGCATCTGTCACAGGTCAACGTTGATGTTGTTCCTTTGACCAATTTGACTACTTTTTTATAACGCAGAATAAAGATACTTGGTCGAATCAAGGAAGTATAATTGGATAGACGTTTATACTTCAGAGGTGTCGCCAATTACTGAAATTCCATGCGGGTTGTAATTCTTAGTGTCACTTTTTAAAGTATTTTTACAAAATAAACCGACACTTTACCGACATTTTTTGTTTGCTAACTTTTTTCTGTAAATGTTTTATTACTCGTAAAACACTTACTTTTTCGAAATATAAATGCTTTTTATGTAATTAAGAATGTCTCGTGTATTTAAAAACATTTTAATTAATATGCAAGCTTTGTTTAGTAAGGAGTCGTCCATAAATTGCGACATGCAATTTTTGACATTTTTTAGCTATTCTTCTGATATATACATGCAAAAATATTATTTTGTATATATAGTTTTCTCAGAAGTTTACACTTAACTTTTCCCACAACGTTAGCGTTGCCGAGTGGATTCCTTTTCAGGGTAGTATAGCAAGGGTTTAAGGTTTGTCTCTCAGTATTGAATTTTTATTTATTTTTTATTTAGAGCACATAGGTTTTTTTTTGTTGCTACATATTTTTGTGCACCAACTAAATAAAGTTCTGCATATGGACCATATAAATTCAAAGCGCAGAACGTGCACTGCACATAGATTGTTAATCCGTGGTCAAATGAAAAAAAATCTTAAGGTAGTATAATTTTAGCGTAAAATATGAAAGAATATCACCGAAGTACACATTTGTTTTGAGCGTAATAGGGTATTTGAGGATTCATATTTTCGAACAAAATATAGCTGAGGGTAAAAAAATAGTTTAATAAACAGTTGTAAGAGATTTTAAAAAATGAATCAATATTTCTTGGCTTAAAACATGAGGTTAAATCAACAATAAAGTTAAATAAAAATAAAAATATTAGTAACTACAGAAAAGAATCGAACAAATAGTTATTCTTCCCTTTCTTACAATACTTAAGTTGAAGTAAATTTATTTAAAAATAAGACTACAAAACACATTAGTATAACATTAACTAAAAATTAAACATAGGGGCACAAAATTACGCGTACCAACTGAAATAGGTTTTAGGTTGTCTTTTACATAACTAAAAATTAAAAATAGTTTACCAAATTTAAAATAACTCAATCACTGAATTTAAAGAAATTTTCCGTCCTCCTCTCAAGAAAACATTAAAATACTTTACCTGGTTAAAAGTCATAAAGACGCATGGATATGATATGTTGTAATAAAACATCTTTAGCATATTAATAATGTTTTCTGATTTATTTGACCTATATATAAGAAATACAAAAATAGGATACAGGTGTAATTTTTTTATTTTTTAACATTGTACTTTTTTAAGGTGGTAAATCATCAAATATTTTCTGAAAATTGAAAAAAAATATGTGATTTTTTGATATTTGGCTCATTTGATAGAAAATTTAATATAGATTAATAATATAAAAAGTTAGTTCCCAACTTATTTTTTAATTTTTCATTAATTTAACTTACTAAAAAAGTTTATATAGGAATGACAACTATATTTAATCTTTTTTGGCGTTTCTCTCCGTTTTTAAATTTTACGAAACCTTGTCTGATTGTCATGATATCTTGAGAAGCAGAAGTGCAAATTGTTTGAGAAGCAGAAAATTACTTCAAATTTTTAGAAAATGTTTATTACACTGTTTTCTAGACGGTGACATTTTAAAATTTTTTAATTCTGCTCCAATCTTTTTTTTTTTTTTAATTTTAGGTCTGAAAAAGTTTTTTTGTTATTACCTGATAAAAAAAAATTGAAAAAATTTTTGATGTACTTTAAAAATCTTAAAATGCAAATGTCACTTACCTTACATGTCTAACTCACCTTACTTTACATGTCTAGAACATGTGCAAAAAATGTCATGGATTTTATGTTAAAATATTTCAAATTATCGTGATTTGGATTGACCCATTAAAATGAACGTTTTTCGATAAAATCGAGGCAAAGTTGTTGAGGCAAAGTAAAATGATGTAAAAAATAGCATTCCAATTTAACATTGTTTTTATTGGTATAGAATTTATCTTTTTTTTTTTAAGTTTTAACATTTTAGAATATTTGGTGGGGTACCACCAAATGTACAATTCGATTTGAACAAAGACAAAGGACAAGTAAACAATATAATCAAATACAGAATTCCATATCTTGATAATTCTTTCACAGTAGAAAAATCTTCATGTATCATTTTTATATTTAATACGTGAATAAAGATTTTGTGCATGACATCTTGTAAGGTAGTAAGAAGGAACAAATGTAAAAAACTCAGAAAAAGGTAGATCGACAAGGTTGTGTATAATTTTATAGGTCATTACAAGATCAAGTTTTATTCTACGCCATTCAAGAGATTCTTGATTAAAGATATTGAGTCTTGAAGAATAATCTTCATAAGGAATACGACATCTCTTACAGACACTTCTAGTAAAGGATTTTTGAACCTTTTTTAACCAACGTATATTTTTTAAAAGATGGGGATTCCACACAGAGGTACAAGATTCTATGATTGGTTGAACATAAACTTTATAGGCTTTGATCAGAAGCTTGAAATTGTTACTGATAAAGGATTTTAAAAGTAAGTAGGAACGAGAATATGCCTTGATTGCAATGAAAGAATAGTGATTAGAAAATTTCATATCCGAAGATACGACTATATTGATATCTTGAATTAAATCAATAGACTCAATAGACGTACCAATGTTTATTGAGTATGAATTTCATATAAAGGTGCCAAACTTTTGACCATTCCAAAAAATTTTTTAAGGTCTTGATGAGGTGTATGTTGTTTCCATGATTGCTTGCTTGATATAACTTGCTGTCATAAGCAAAAAAATCAATGCTGCAATCGCCATCAATACATGAAGTTACACCTTTATAACAACTAAAAAAAAATGGGTCTCAAAGCAGTTCCTTGAGGTATTCCGCTCTTTGCAAGAATTTTATTTGAATACGAGTTACCAACACAGACATATTGAGAACGCATTGTTTAAAAAATTTGTCATTCAATTTAGTAATTCATACTAGATACCATAACAATTCAGTTTGAACAGTAAACTAGAGTAAGTCACAGAATCAAAGGCTTTCATAAAATTTTTATATACAATATCAACTACGTTTTTGTTATTAGCAGCACTCATTTAAGGTTGTCAACATCTGTGTACAGGTGGACCTACACTTTAAAACCCAAATTGATGAGCGATAAAAAAGTTATTGATTAGTAAATATTTTGTAATGCATTCTGCATTGATTGACTCCATAACTTAATAAATAATGCACGTCATAAAAATACGTCTATAGTTTGTGGTTAATGACGGGTTTCCTTTCTTATAGATGGGCACACTATAGAGGTTTTCCAGATTAAAAAAATGGCATTTTTTGAGATTGACACTTCAAACAGTATGGAAAGAGGAATAGCAATGGCATTTGTAATTGATTTTAGAAGTATTGCTGGGTATCCATCAGGTGATTTAAAGGACTTTGATGGAAGAATTTGTAGGAATAAAACTACAGCGCTGTATGGAAACATTACATTATTTAAAGAGTTTGAGTGTGTTGGCAAATCTAAGACAGGTGCAATACCATTATCTGTAACAAAAACAGAATTGAAAAAATTGTTTAAAAGATTTGATTTTCCACAATCATCTGTGCTAAGAGAACCATCTGGTCGTAATAGTGGGAAAAAAACTTACTGCATTTGGTTTTTGTCTTTACAAAGGAATAAAACTGGACAATATTAGCTTTTTCGACTAAATCTATCTCACTGAAAATACAATAATAATTTATTTCTGCATCGTATAAACGAGAACAAACCTTAAATTAATTTAAGATGGATGTATTACCAGTTCCTTTGTACTCTAAATAGATAATGGTTTTTTTAGAGACTAATTTCCGAATGGCTAGAAGTTGAAAGTTATTTTTTCTATTGCAACGCACTGAAACATGTGCGGAAGTAGATGAGTTTAAATATTTACGAATAATTTGCTAGAATACTTTAAAATCTTGATTTTTCTTAGTTAGCATATACCAGTTTATACTTTGTAAATCTGATTGTATAGCGTTGTAACCACCTATGTGAAAATTGTATTTAATTGATTTAGATTTCTTCAAATTACAATTGAAAACGATCATAAAGGGGTCACAAGTGCTTGTAAATGGGGCAACAGCTTCTACATTAAAAACCTTTTTTGAGTAGTTGGTTGGTGTTAAATCTAGGAGGTTATTATGTCAAGTATTATCAGATTCAAGATGGTCTAAAGCATTTGCCAAACACGTTTCTATAAATAGTTCATGGGACGAATCTCCGAAACTAATTGGAAATGACTAGTTTATGAGTGGTAGATTATAGTCACCTGCAATGATACATGTAGAGTTGCACTTAGATTTAATTTTGTAAATTAATTTGCACAAAGTTTTGGTTGTTAAAATACTGGTGGCAGCAAATGAAGGGTGATAAACAAATGAAAGTCAAATTTT